GCTCACTGCAACCTCGGCTCACCACAACCTCTCAGGTTCAAGCAATTCTTGCCTCAGCCTCCCGAGTAGCTGGGATTACAGGCATGCCTCACCACACCTGGCTAACTTTATATTTTTGGTAGGGGTCACTCCTGACCTCAGGTGATCTGCTCAACTCAGCTTCCCAAAGTGCTAGGATTATAGGCGTCAGCCACTGAGCCCGGCTACTTGTACATGTTCGAAGTCTCGTAGTGTGTTTGCATACAAATTGTAAAATAAAACACAGGGCATCAAAGAGAGTTCTCTATTGCTGTGTGTGGTTTTGGCATATGCTTCAAGGTCTTTTCTGTAATGTGGGATATTTAAGAGGAAAAATCTAAGAAATGCTGACATAATGGAAAGCATTTGGGTACTAGGGTCAGCCAAACCAAAGTTCAAATATAACTTCTCTCACTAACTAGTTGTGTAAACATCAGTAAATTAGCATCTCCGAGTTTCAGTGTCTTCTATAAAATGGGGGAGAATAGCAGGGGCAGGAAGCAAGGTGGCGTGGATTAAGCATCGTCTTCAGAGACATGCAGACATGGGTTTGGACACCATCTCTATTAATCCCTGATTGTGTGACTCAGGGTAAATAACTTCACTTCTTGGAGTATCTGTTTCTTCCTCTGAAACAAATGGGACCGTAAGTGTACTGCATTCATAGGGCTTAGGTAAGCTTCAAATAAAACTATGCAGTGGGCTGGGTGCGGTGGCTCATGCCTATAATCCCAGCACTTTGGGACGCCAAGATGGGCGGATCATTGGAGTCCAGGAATTCAAGACTGGCGGGTGACATGGCTAGATCCCATCTCTACAAAAAATACAAAAATTAGCTGGGCATGGCGGCATGCTCCTGTAGTCCCAGCTACTCCGGAGGCTGAGGAGGGAGGAACACTTGAGCCCTGGAGGTGGAGGTTGCAGTAAGCCGAGATAACACCACTGCACTCCAGCCTGGGCAACAAAGTAAGAAGAAGAAGAAATAAGTAATGCAGCTATAGGGCCTCACACGGTGCCTGAAACATCGTAGGTGTGTAATAAGGTCAGTTTGCTTCTGCCTTGGTTTCCCCACCTGTAACTGAAGAGGTTGGATTAGATGGTTCCCTGAGGCCCTCCCCAAGTTCGTGATTCTAAATGGATTTAAAAGGTCCTTGCTGAGAGTGGTAGCACACTCCTCTAGGTCCAGCTACTTGGGACAGGAGGCTGAGGCAAGAGGATCACTTGAACCCAGGAGTTCAAGGCTACAGTGAGCTCTTGCACCATTGCACTCCAGCCTGGGCCACAGAGCAAGACCCCCATCCCCAAAAAGAAAAACATTTAATTTAAAGAAAGGCCTGGGAAGAGTTAACCTGCCAGGGTTCCTTGGGGCCTTAGTGCCCCTCTAAGCACCCTGCCCCCAGGCTTTCTCAACACCATGGTGCAGAGACTGAGGTGAGGGTGGGGCGAGGCACAGCCTGGGACCAGAGCTATTTGGAGCCTTGTTTTTCTTGGAGGTGCTGTGGAGGCAAGGAGACTCTCCTCTCCCTCCCTCCCTCTAGGTTTGGAACTAGAATCTAGTCTCCCCGCCTTTATTTCCAAAACAGTTCCTGGCTCTAGCTGCCAGGACTCCTCTGGGGTTGCAGGAGCCTTCAGGCTCCAGCTCAGAAAATCCTTCCTCCCAGACACACACCCCTCCACCCAGACACTGGGGACTACCTCGAACCAGCTTTCACAGAGAGGAATTCCCTCTTTGTCCAGAAAAGCTGGTGCAAGACCTTTACGGGCAAGAGAGCAAATCCCCCTCCGCTGGTGGAGCCTGTGTGGCTGGGCACAGAGGTCAGAAGAGAGAGGGAAGTTGTCAACTGTGACAGATGGTTCCCTTTCTCTCCCTCTCTCTCGTCTGGCTCTGTTTTCTGCCTGTCTTCAGCTAGCTGTTTGCAGGATTCTCATCTGCTTCAAAGACTCGCTTCCACTTCCTTCCTCCCTCTCTCCCTACTGCAAAATGTTTGTAGACTGAAACTTTCCAAATCATTTCAAACTTGTTTTAAAAATTCAGTTTCTATTCTGGGGGTCCCAGATGTGCTGCAGCTCACAAATAGGGCCAACCAGTGTTCCAAGACTCTCATCAAGTAGACAAGGGAAAGAGATGGCGACTCACAGGGCCTGGGGAGTGTCTAGGCCATAGTCTTCCAAAAGCACTTGTCATTCAAGCAACATTTCCGTGATGTTTGCCATATCTGCCCACCATCTCTACTGTTATTTATGCAACCTAAGTTGAGCAAGTGTGACATCAGAAATACAATCAAACTGCATCCTTGTTTCTGCCTAGCCCTCCCGACTTATAATTTAGTCAGTGAGGGGAGCTCCCCCTCCCGCTGGTTGCAGTCTCCACTCCCGGGCAACCCATACCTCGATTTCCATGAGAAAGTGAGGTTTCTTCCTGCTGCCTCAGCGAAGGTGTGAAACAGGCAAGGCCGTCTGCTCCCCTTGTCTGCTCACCTCTTTCCAGGTTGAAGGGAGGGGAGGTACAGGGACGGGAGGAGGATTTCTATATGTTTCATGACCAAGCAGGGGCTAGATTGCTCTGCGTCTCTGTGCCTGGCAGACATTTAAAGCTGTCTTTTCCACGGGGGCCTTTTGCAGGCTCTTTGGGAGTGACCATATTGGGCCCTGTGATTGTAACACTGCTGCGATATGGGCAATGAACATTTTCCTTTCTCTGCAAGTCCAGGCCTTCCCTTCAGCATCTGTTTCCAGGGTTAAAGATCCTGGAGTGGGCAGGAGGAGAGAGATGGTTAGCCTTTTTCTGAGGGGAGCAGCCAGAGGCAACCCAGAAGCCTGGGCAGGCTCCAAGAGCCAGGCGCCAAGCAGAGTCTGAAGGGAAAGGAGACCGAAGGCCTGAAGGAAAAACGAGTTCCAGAGGTCAATGCCTGAGCAATGCCCCTGCCGTGCAACCAGGACCATAGCTGCCGAGGATCCCCTAATACTCAAAGGCTCTGACTGGCTAGCCACAGACTGAGTGAGAACTATGAAGCCAATAGTGCTTTGTATCTGGAAAGAGAACAGATTGAAGTCTGAAAGGCTCAGCGTCAGAGCTGGAAGGGACCCTATTCTAGTGGTTCCCAAAACAAGGTCTCTGGACCACCATCAGCAGCATCACTGGGAAACTTATTCAGAATACAAATTGCCAGCCAGGCATGGTGGCTTATGCCTGTAATCCCAGCACTGGGAGGCTGAGACGGGTGGATCACCTGAAGTCGCGAGTTCCAGACCGGCATGGCCAACATGGTGAAACTCCATCTCTAAAATACAAAAATATTTGCTGGGCATGGTGAAACCCCATCTCTAAAAATACAAAAATATTATCTGGACATGGTGGGGGGCATGTAATCCCAGCTGCTTGGGAGGCTGAGGCAGGAGAATCGCTTGAACCCAGAGGGCGAAGGTTGCAGTGAGTCCAGATCGCGCCACTGCACTCCAGCCTGGGCAACAAGAGTGAGACTCCATCTCAAAAAAAAAAAAAAAAAAAAAGGAAGAAAGAAAATGCAAATTGCCCAGCTTCACCCCAGAACTAATAAATCAGAAACTCTGGGGGTAAAGCCCAACAACCTGTGTGTTAACAAGCCCTGAAGGTGAGTGTGATGCACACTGAAGTTTAGGAACCACTGCTCCGGTCCAGCCCCTGTTGTTCAGGTGAGGAAACTGAGGCCCGAAGAGGGAAAAGGATTTGACTAAGGTCACAAAGCAAGTTGCCATTTCATAGTTCATGGCCATGGCAGGAAGTCATGCCTGGAATGTTTCCCCTCCTGGTTTCATTCTCGAGAGAGAGGCTATTGATTACAAAGCAATGGAACTGATTTGTTGAGAGGTCTTGGGCAAGTTGCTTATTTCTGCTCTGGGTCTTAGTTTCTGCGTATGCACAGTGAGGGCAGGGAGTAAATAGATACCTCCGGGTGCATAGCACACTGTTCTCCAGTAGGATTGTGCCATTGCTACCATCAGCCTTAAGGACACGGTCTAGCCTGGGACGGGAGGGCACAGACCCTGGATCTGGACAGCCTGGTCAAACCTTAACCCTGCCATCTATTAATCACGTGATATTGACCAGGAGCATCCAGTCTTTTGCCTTCCTTGTGCCACATTGGAAGAAGAATTGTCTTGGGCCACACATAAAATACACTAACACTAGCAATGGGTGATGAGCTAAAAAAAAAAAAAAAAAAATCTCATGATGTTTTAAGAAAGTTTATAAAATTTGTGTTGGGCTGCATTCAAAACTGTTCTGGAGCGTATGTGGCCCACAGGCCCCGGGTTGGACAAGCGTGACATAGACACATTGTTCCACTTCTCTGAGCCTCCATTTCCTCCCCTGTATCTATTCTGTAAGGGCATTGTGCAGATCAGGTAATGAGTGGAAAGTGCTTAGCACATGCCTGGCACACAGGAAGCGCTGGGGGAGGAGCTGCTGCTATGGCCTGCCAGGGTTGCTCAGGTGATGGTTGACCTCCACTCGGTAACTGAATCCTCCAGCTCTCCTCATGTGCAACCCTGAGTCTCCCGTGAGAAGCAGATTAGTTGCAAAGTTGTCTACAATTCAAGCATTTCTACCCCTGTAAGACTCTAACATTCTATTCATGCCATATGTTTGGATGAAACCATGGATCATTTCTCTCCATTCACAGCTCCTCCCAGTCGTCAGTCTCTGGGTCATAATCCTGCATCCATTTCAGCCACTCTGGAGGATGATGGTCTCATGATGAGTGCCTCACCCCCGAGACCCCTTCAAAGTATATTCTGGGTAATGACTCCACTCACCCAAATATGTCCTCAAGATATGACGACTCTGTCCACATCGCATCTGCTTGTATGTGATGCAGAAAAGAGCAAGAGACAGAAATCCGATTGAGTGTATCTCCATGCCTCCTCCTCTGCATCCCCTCTGACCAGCCGCAGGTCAGCTTGGCGGCCACACTCATCTGTCACAGCTCTCTTGCCTCCCACAGGTGACCACCATGATCCCCTGGGTGCTCTTGGCCTGTGCCCTCCCCTGTGCTGCTGACCCACTGCTTGGCGCCTTTGCTCGCAGGGACTTCCGGAAAGGCTCCCCTCAACTGGTCTGCAGCCTGCCTGGCCCCCAGGGCCCACCCGGCCCCCCAGGAGCCCCAGGACCCTCAGGAATGATGGGCCGAATGGGCTTTCCTGGCAAAGATGGCCAAGACGGCCAAGATGGTGACCGAGGGGACAGCGGAGAGGAAGGTAAGAGGCTTATACCTGCCCCTCTTGTTCCCACCTGGCTGACAGCATCTGGCATTGGTGGGGGGTTGTAAGGTTAATAAAACTAGTATTAATCCTCTTCATTACAAATCAAATTACTGTTTCCTTATAAACAGCTATATATATATATATATATATTTTTTTTTTTTTTTTTTTTTCTTGAGAAAAAAACCTGTCACCCAGGTTGGAGTGCAGTTGTGTGATCTCAGCTCACTGCAACCTTTCTCCTCCCCAACCCCAGGTTCAAGCAGTTCTCCTGAGTACCTAGGACTACAGGTGTACCCCACCACACCTGGCTAATTTTTGTATTTCTTTTTTTTTTTCAGTAGACATGGGGTTTCACCACATCGGCCAGGCTGGTCTCAACCTCCTGACCTCAGGAGAAGCGAAGCCCTGACGATATTTAGCTCCTGTACTCAGCTATTCCTGGAGCTCGGCTATTGGACGTCTCCGTTTTGGTTTTTGCCTTGGCCTTCCATTGTGCTGGGGTTACAGGCATGGGCCACGGCGCCTGGCCTCAGAGCAGTATCTTCTGAAAGGAACAATGGGTATTAAATCTTGTGCTCCTGCCCCGGGTGCACCTTTGGGTTGCTAAGTGACTTTGGAAAAGTCTCCCAAAATATTACTCAGAAGTCTTGATGACTGCAAGTGACAGAAACCCAATTTATAGTCCCAAATGGAATGTATTAGCTCATAAAACTGAGACACCAGGCCAGGCTCGGCGTCTCACACCTATAATCCCAGCACTTTGGGAGGCCGAGGTGGGTAGATCCCTTGAGGCCAGGCATTCAGGACCAACCTGGTCAACATGGCAAAACTCCATCTCTACTAAAAATACAAAAAATTAGCCCAGTGTGCTGACGTGTGCCTGTAATACCCAGTACTGTGGAGGCTGAGGCAGGAAAATAGCTTGAACCCGAGAGACAGAGGTTGGAGTGAGCTGAGATCACGCTGCCGCACTCCAGCCTGGGTGACAGAGCAGGGCCCTGTTTCAAAAAAAAACTCAAAAAACAAAACTGAGATGTCCAAGAGCAGAGCTCCAGGAATAGCTGAGTCTAGGAGCTCAAATATCATTGTCAGAGCTCTGCTTCTCTGTGTGATTGTTGCATCCTCACAAAGGCTGGAAATTCTGAAATAGCAACTGCTGGGTACAGGCCCACATCTTCCTGGCTTCATCCACAGAGCAAATCTCAGAACAGCCAAGTCTTCTTGGCCGCATGTGTATCCTGGACCAACTCCCTTGACCAAGGAGGTGAGGTGCTGCCATCTGCAGGACAGGCTCATGTGCCCACCCCTGCATGTGTGTGAGTGGGTGGTGAGGGCAGTCAGTCATTGTGACTGACAGCCCCACTAGGACCATATGAAATGAAATGGTGACGGGCAGCTCCCCAAAGGAAGGGATGCCAGGCAGATGGCAAACAGAATGGGTGTACTCTACAGACCTTTCTGTCGTGACATTCCTTATGTCTCCAAACTTTCACCCCAGCAACCAAGCACTTTTCAGTGTCAGCAGCATCCCGACCTAAGTCTACATTTTAAGCAGTAGAGAAATTTAATAATTTTTATTTGCATGGCATTTTAATATTGATAAAGCACTTTTGAGTATGTTGCCCATCTGACCATCCATACTTTGTGCCAGAGGGATTCTTATTTTCCCCATGTTACAGATGAGGATACTGAGAGTCAGAGGGACTCAGTTGAGAGCAAAATGTCATCACCACAAGAATATGAACTTTGGAAACAAACCTGGATGCTCATTTTGGCAAACTACTTAAGCTTTCTCCACCCGTAGTTTCCTTATCTCTAAAATATGAATAATAATAGCACCTGTCTCACAGGGTTGTAAAGATGAAATAAAACAATGTGTGAAGCACCAGTCTCAGTGCAGACATGCAATAAATGTTAGTCACCCTGTAATTGACTTGTTGAGCTCCCATAACCGGCAGACGGCAGACTCCAAATCCTGTCCTTTTCCTACCACACCAAACTATTTCCTTCAAAAGTACCACCTCCCCAGGAGATTAGTATAAAAGTAACGATCATGCCAGGCACAGTGGCACATGCCTGTAATTCCAACACTTTGGGAGGCTAAGGCAGGTGGATCACGAGGTCAGGAGTTCCAGACTAGCCTGGCCAATATGGTGAAACCCCGTCTTTACTAAAATTATAAAAATTAGCTGAGCATGGTGGCACACGCCTACAGTCCCAGAGGCTTGAGCGGCTGAGGCAGAAGAAGTGCTTGAACCCAGGAGGCGGAGATTGCAGTGAGCTGAGATTGTACCTCTGTACTCCAGCCTGGGCAACAGAGTGACACTCTGTCTCAAAAAAAAAAAAAAAAAAAGTAACGATCATACCTTTGACTGGGGGAGGTCATCCAGCGTGCTGGGCACTGGCGTCACAGAATCCAGTTTCCTGACCACAACGGTAGAGTCAGTTCTGGACATGTGCTCCAAGCAGGCCAGCTAGAGTTTTCCCTGAAATTTGCCTATGGGTCCTAAGGGACAGAGTCTCTGCTGTTGACTTTTCCCCAAATAGATAAAGCTTACCAGGAAGTTCTGGCGTGCATTGGGGCTGCCTTTGGTCATCTCTTCTGTGATGTGTTGAGTCTCTGCAGAGAAAGAAACCACCACACCAAGGAAGGTAGTGTTGGGAGAGTCCCAGCACATATAACCCAGACAAAGTTGGTCACCCTGGAGCCAATTCAGGATAATATCCAACCACCCACACATCACCACACACACAAATCCACCTCCAGAAATGTCTTCAAGAGTAAAGGCAGCTTTTCCTGAAGTTTCTCAAAAAAAGATAATGAAGAGGGAAGCACATTATATAATACATGGTAGAGCTTCCTGGTAAGCTTTCTTATCTATTTGTCTCCCACCAAAAACCCCAATTCAGAATGACTTGGGGGGCTGTGTGGTGGCTCACACCTGTAATTTCAGCACTTTGGGAGGCTGAGGCAGGAGGATTGGGAGGCCAGGAGTTCGAAACTAGCCTGGGCAACATAGGGAGATCCATGCCTCTACAAAACTTTTAAAATTAACCAAGCGTGCTGGGGTGCACCTGTAGTCTCAGCTACTCAGGAGGCTGAGGCAGGAAGATCACTCAAGCCCAAGAGTTTGAGGTTACCGTAAGCTAGGACCGGGCCACTGTGCACTCCAGCCTGGGCAACAGTGTGAGACTCTGTCTCTAAAAAAAAAAAAAAAAAAAGGATTCTGTCTCTCCTCTTCTCTTGGCCGTTTTTCCCACCTTTTGTTTATTTTCATTTTTTCAAGGAATAGCTTTGCGACTTTTCCTAGTTTTATTTTTTCCCATTCTTTTTGTTTATTTTTAATTATATGAGTAATATACAAATACAGTGTCATTGTAATATATTCAAACAATGCACATAAAACAAAAGTCCTCCTTAATTACTACCCCTTCTTCTCCTCCCTCACCCTCCAGATGTAACCACTATTAATTGGTTAGGTGTGTATCTTTCCTGGCGTTTTTATGTATGTTTAATAATACCAGACATTGTCAGGCGCCTAACATAAGCAATCTGTTCCTAAAAATAAGTGTTCTGTAAGAAAATGCAATTTGGAGGGCCGGGCGTGGTGCCTCAAGCCTGTAATCCCAGCACTTTGGGAGGCCGAGGCAGGTGGATCACGAGGTCAAGAGATTGAGACCATCCTGGCCAACATGGTGAAACCCCGTCTCTAACTAAAAATACAAAAAATTGGCTGGGCATGGTGATGCGTGCCTGTAATCCCAGCTACTCAGGAGGCTGAGGCAGGAGAATTGCCTGAACCCAGGAGGCGGAGGTTGCAGTGAGCCGAGATCGCGCCATTGCACTCCAGCCTGGGTAACAAGAGCGAAACTCTGTCTCAAAAAAAAAAAAAAAAAGAAAGAAAAAAAAGAAAACGCAATTTGGAAACCCATTTCTGAATTGTGTAAAATAGGAAAAATTTAGATGCATTACAGATTAACTCAAAAGTCTAAAACACAGTGAAATGCCTACATACGTACATATAAGAAACAAAGTACCTTGTTAGGATGTAAAATGCCTAAAACATTCTTCCTTGATCACCCAGTTCATATGGTTGTAACAACCTTGTGTCAAGTGAACTCAAATTGTCATCCATATAGGTTTTGTTTAAAATGTTGTATTGAGGCCGGGCACGGTGGCTCAAGCCTGTAATCCCAGCACTTTGGGAGGCCGAGGCGGGTGGATCATGAGGTCAAGAGATCGAGACCATCCTGGTCAACACGGTGAAACCCCGTCTCTACTAAAAATACAAAAAATTAGCTGGGCGTGATGGTGCGTGCCTGTAATCCCAGCTACTCAGGAGGCTGAGGCAGGAGAATTGCCTGAACCGAGATCGCGCCATTGCACTCCAGCCTGGGTAACAAGAGCGAAACTCCGTCTCAAAAAAAAAAAAAAAAAAATTGTTGTATTGAGTTAAGGGGACATAAATTAAATTGATTTTATACAGTCAATAGCCAAAAATGTTGTTTTGAAAGAAATGTATATTTCATGAAATATGAGTATGAAACACCAAAAAGTCTTCTAAAGGAAAACCCAACTGGGGGAATTGTTCTGCAGGGAATGCCAGCCAGAATTTAGGGAACGTTTGCTATAGGCCAGACATTTAAATGGGTGTAGAAATATTTAGCATTGTGGATTCCTTTTGTATTCTAATTCTTATTTTTTAGAGACAAGGTCTCACTCTGTTGCCCTGGCTGGAATACAGTGACACAATCATAGCTCACGGTAACCTGGAACTCATGGACTCAAGGGATCCTCTCACCTCAGCCTCCCAGGTAGATAGGGCTACAGCCACACGCCACCATGCCTGTCTAATTTTGGTATTTTTTGTAGAGAAAATGTCACACAACATTTCCTAGTCTCAAACTCCTGGCCTCAAGCGATCCTCCAGCCCCAGCTTTCCAAAATGCTGGAATTACAGACATGAGCCACCATGCTCAGCCTGGCTGCCTTTTAACATAAAAGGTTTGGCCACCTGCTCTTTCCTCTTAGTGTATGTTAGAGAAGGTTTCATAGAGCACACGTTACTCTCCTTTTTTTTTTTTTTTTCCGAGGCTCTTGTTACCCAGGTTGGAGTGCAATGGCCCGATCTCGGCTCACCACAACCTCTGCCTCCTGGGTTCAGGCAATTCTCCTGCCTCAGCCCCCTGAGTAGCTGGGATTACAGGCACGCGCCACCATGCCCAGCTAATTTTTTGTATTTCTAGTAGAAATGGGGTTTCACCATGTTGACCAGGATAGTCTCGATCTCTCGACCTCATGATCCACCCCCCTCAGCCTCCCAAAGTGCTGGGATTACAGGCATGAGCCACCGCGCCCAGCCAACTCTCCTTTTTTTTTTAAGTCCTGCATAGAAATTCACAGTATGGATGACCCATAATTTTTAAAAATTATTTCCCTTTGGATAGGCATTTAGTTGTTCCTATTTTTTGCTATTATAAGCAATGCCTCAATAAAATCCTTATGTTAGTGGGCAGGGCTTGCTTGCACTAGGCAGGGATTTTACTAAGGTCAGCGTGTTGAAGTCAAGAGGCTTTTTCCAGTTCTCAACCCATTACCAGCACAGCCCATGGAAGGATTGATCTGGCAGACAGACCAGACTCTTAGAAAACAGGAGAAGGAAAGGGTGTGAATGTCACGAGTGATTCTTTTTGCCCTGATACACAGTGATCCTTGAAGGTTAGTATCATGATTTCCATTTTCCTCATAGCTAGCATTAGGATTTATACCCACTTCTATGTGTCTCCAAAGCTGTCTTGTTCTTTCCATTACCCAAGCACTCCTTCTCCAAGGATGGGAAACCAAGGCGCATGCCTCTGCCTAGGTCTGTGATGATCCTCCATAACACCAGTTGCTCTGTCTTCCAGGTCCTACCTGGCCGGACAGGTAACCGGGGAAAGCCGGGACCAAAGGGCAAAGCTGGGGCCATTGGGCGGGCTGGCCCTCGTGGCCCCAAGGGGGTCAGTGGTACCCCCGGGAAGCATGGCACGCCAGGCAAGAAGGGGCCCAAGGGCAAGAAGGGGGAGCCAGGCCTCCCAGGCCCATGCAGCTGCCGCAGTGGCCACACCAAGTCGGCTTTCTCGGTGGCGGTGACCAAGAGCTACCCTCGGGAGCGGCTGCCCATCAAGTTTGACAAGATTCTGATGAACGAGGGTGGCCACTACAATGCTTCCAGTGGCAAGTTTGTCTGCAGCGTGCCCGGGATCTACTACTTCACCTACGACATCACGCTGGCCAACAAGCACCTGGCCATCGGCCTGGTGCACAATGGTCAGTACCGCATCCGGACCTTTGATGCCAACACCGGCAACCACGATGTGGCCTCGGGCTCCACCATCCTGGCTCTCAAGCAGGGTGACGAAGTCTGGCTACAGATCTTCTACTCAGAGCAGAATGGGCTCTTCTACGACCCTTACTGGACAGACAGCCTCTTCACAGGCTTCCTCATCTATGCTGACCAGGATGACCCCAATGAGGTATAGACACACCAGGGCCATCCTCCAGGCAGGGAACAAGCAAGACCTCTCAGCTGTAGGCTAGGGGCGGGGTGTCGAGTGAGCGGTTCTAGCCTCAAGCTGACCTCCTCTCCCTCTTTTATTCCCCATCATTAAATCCAAACCTTTTTACTCATCCAACCATCTACTTATTCACTTCTTTTTAAAGTATCTACTGCATAACAGGCACTATGTGATTCTCTGAAAGACATAGCAGTGGACAAGACAGAGTATCTGTCCTCATGGGGCTTACATTCTAGCGGAGACACGATTTACAAATAAATGAGCAGATAATATTATGCCAGCACAGACATGAACATGCCATGGTTGAGAGTAACAGGAATAACAGGAGACAGGGAAGAGGTGGACATTTGTGGGTTTTTTGTTTTTGTTTTTGTTTTTTTCAGATTTTGACTTTTTAGGTTTACTTACACACAGTGACTCTCCAAATTTTAAGTTGACAGCTCAGTGAATAATTTTTACTTACATGCACATCTTTGAACCTCCATGTAGATCAAGGAACAAACTATTTCCAGCCTCTCACCTCCCATCCCCGAAGAGTCTCTTAAGACCCCTCTAAGTCAGTACCTGGCAAAGTTCCGTTTTTGAGCTGAATTCAAAAGAAAAAGGTAGAGTATGCAAAGGTGTTGGAAAAGAGATCTCCCAGCAAAAGGTTCTGTAAGTGCAAAGACCTTGACAGGGAAGAGGGAGAGGCCAAGGTCAAAACTGAGAAGGGAGGAATGAGGCGTGAGGCTGGAAGGTAATACAGAACCTCCCAGACTTGGCAGAGCTCACTCTGCTTACAAAGGCTTAGCAAAATGCAAAGTGAGCGTAACCCTGATAAGCAGATCATCTTGAATCTGCTCAATGCTTGAGTCAAGTCGGCCTCGGATTTGAGTACTTTATTATTAGTTAATCTTTTGCAGGCTCTCTTCTCAACGAATGAGATACACCAGGATATGCACATGTGCCTGGGAACTGCTGCTCTAAGATGGCAGGAATGGATTCCACCCAAATGAATCTCACCCCAAGCCCAGGTGTTTCCAGTATGCAGGGATCTGAAGACTTAAGAAGCCACAGTAAAAGTGGCAGGTGCTGGCCGGGCGTAGTGGCTCACGCCTGTAATCCTAGCACCTGGGGAGGCTGAGGCGGGCCAATCATTTGAGGTCAGAAATTCGAGACCAGCCTGGCCAACATGACAAAACCTCATCTCTACTAAAAAAAAAAATACAAAAATTAGCCAAGTGTAGTGGCGCATGCCTGTAATCCCAGCTACTGGAGAGGCTGAGGCAGGAGAACCGCTTGAACGCGGGAGGCGGAGGTTGCAGTTAGCTGAGATAGTGCCACTGCACTCCAGCCTGGATGACAGAGTAAGGCTCTGTCTCAAGAGAAAAAAAAAAAAAAAAAGAGGCAGTTACTCAGAGAGCCCCAAGGAAAGATTGCTGGAGAAAATTTGCAGTTGGAGCTGCAGCTCCCTAGCAGCTTTCTCTGGCTACTCATCTAGTGAGATCCTGAGGGACAGGTAATATTGCACAGGATGGTCCTGGAAGGAGTGGTCATCTCCAGAAATAAAATGGGATTTATTTAAAATAACTCCACTCTCTCTGGGTCATAAATGGTTTGGGATTGGGGTGGGTCTGAAAAATTCAGGAAGGACCTTGTGGCCCAATCAGATCGATGTGTGGGTTGGGGTCCCCTGCGGCACCCCTGTGGGAAGGGGTCAGCTTTGGTCAGTGAACAATTTTTTTTCTTTTTTTTTTTTTTTTACAAAAATAATTTTTTTTGGTGTATGTGCTTGGCTGAGGAGCCAATGGGGCGAAGCTACCATCTGTGGGATTATGACTGAATGCCTCTAAGTCAGAATCCCGCCCAGGCGGAACCATACGGCAGCACCGCGGTGCCTCGGTTGGCCTTGGATAGCCGGTCCCCCACCGTCCCAGCCGGCGGGCCGCTCCGCCCCGCGGGGGGCATGTCCCGCCGCGCGCTGGGACCGGGGTCCGGTGCGGAGTGCCCCTCGTCCTGGGAAACGGGGTGCGGCCGGAAAGGCGGCCGCCCCCTTGCCCGTCACGCAACGCACGTTCGTGGGGAACCTGGTGCTAAACCATTGGTAGACGACCTGCTTCTGGGTCAGGGTTTCCTACGTAGCAGAGCAGCTCCCTCGCTGCGATGCTATTGAAAGTCAGCCCTCGACACAAGGGTTTGTAAAAAAAAATAAAATAAAAATAAAAAATAAAAATAAAAATAAAAATAAATAAATTTTAGGAATGCCTTTAGCTACTTCCTCTTCCTTCTCCCAAGGATATAGGCATTGAAGGCATTTGACTTAACCCTTTGTAGCCCAGGCAATAAACTGAAACTCAGCAAGATGGGCTGGACCCCAGAGCTCTGTGGTTGCCACTTTTTGGCCCATATTGAACCCATGGCCCCTTGGCATATACCAGAGACTCTTCAGGGAGAGTGCGGGAATGGTGGGGGAAAACTCGGCACTCTTTTATAGAGAGAGGGTGGGGCAGATGATGGCAGAGACCTTCCAGGGCTCAGGGCTGGGGTCTTGTCTTCCTTGGATGTGGTCTAGGGTTGCTGCAGATGGTGGGTTTGTGGCAGGTGGGTGATGCCGTTGAGGGGGGTCTCTAGTGACTAGTGATGTCAAGGATGAGTGCTCCTTTATCCCCTGACACTTGAAAGATGGCTGCCTCCTTGGTGAGCCACTTGGAGGTCTCAGGCTGACGATGCAGGAAGGTGGCCTGGATGAGGAAGGGGCTCCAAGGCAGTGGCCTTCCCAGATGCCATGGGGCCCCGGCCCTTCTTCCTCACTGGGGCTGATTCATGCGCTTCAGCAACCAGGGCCTACCTGTAGGTCTCCATGTTTGTAAGCACCACAGAACCCAGTGCATCTTCATGCACACAAATCACCCTTGATTCAGAGGTCTTTTCTTATTCAGGATACACTTTGAAAGGCAGCCATTCCCCTTCTGGTGAAATATGCAGTGCAAAGAGCTCCCATTATGACAGTGCAAAGAGCACTAGACTCACAAGGCCTACCAGGCCAGCCCCACCCTGGGTGGAACCTCAGGGTTCACCTGACAAATGATGGGGGCTCCACTCCATATATCTAGTGGGGCTTCGTGGGCTGACTTCTGCATCAGGACTATGATGAGGGTGGGGGAAGGGCAATTGAGGCACTCACCTCATGCACAAAATGTAAGAGGGTGGCAGAAACCTCAGTAATCAATATAATTTTTTTTTTTGAAACAGGGTCTTGTTCTGTCACTGAGGCTGGATTGCAGTGGCACGATCATGGCTCACTGCAGCCTCCACCTCCTGGGCTCAAACAATCCTCCCACCTCAGCCACCTGAGAAGCTGGAACTACAGGCCTGTGCCACCACACGTGACTAATTTTTAAATTATTTGTAGAAACAGGAGTCTTGCTATGTTGCCAAGACCGCTCTCTAACTCCTGGCCTCCGGTGATCCTCCCACCTCAGCCTCCCCAAGTGCTGGGATCACAGGTACGAGCTAGCACACCTGGCAGAAACAACTTTTTTAAGACGGAGTCTTGCTCTGTCACCCAGGCTGAAGTGCAGTGGCACAATCTCAATTGACTGCAACCTCCCCCTCCCTGGTTCAAACGAATCTTGTGCTCAGCCTCCCGTGTGGCTGGGATTACAGGCATCCACTACCACATCCGGCTAATTTTTTTTTTTTTTTTTTTTTTTTTTGTATATTTAGTAGAGACGGATTTTCACCATGTTGGCCATGCTGGTCTCGAACTCCTGACCTCAAATGATCCGCCTGCCTGACCTCCCAAAGTTTTGGGATTATAGGCGTGAGCCACTGCCCCTGGCCAGAAATAATATTTTAAAACAATATTTTAATAAATCAGAATTAACCCAAAAAACTCTATGATAAAAAAAATCAAAATGTTAAGTGAAGATGAGATATGACAGGGCTGGGATCAGGGTGAGGTGAGGGAGGGCGAGTCATGCAAGAGCAGCCGGATCCTGGTGTCCATCCGGGAGCCCTCGGCAGCCAGGCCTTGCAGGTGGAAAAGCTTTTTTTCCCTCCTGCCTGTCATCTTCACTTTTGCCACTAGAGGGAGAACGTCTAATACACAAACCTCCAGGCCTGCCGCGTGGAGGCTGGGAGATCCACCCTGGCCTCTTAGGCTGTTTTCTAGATTCCCTCCCACAAAGCAGGTTCTTGTCCAGTCCCCTGGTCTATTTCAATTCAGCAGAGGTGATCTGAGTAGTCACTGAGGCAAGGCTGGAGAAGGCACCTGGGGTTCCCAAGCCAGGTGGGGAGTTAGATCTATTTGGCACAACTTCACGCAGCAGCAGAACCTCCTGCCATCCGCTTTTATAAAAGCGCCTCAGCTGATTCTAACCCACAGCCAGCTTTGCCAAGCCCTGGGCCGGGCTGAGGAGAAAACTAACACAGGAAAGACTCCAGTTCTGCCCTTCAAAGGAGGACATTGTGTGTGCCTCCCCTGTCCTGGTGTCACTTCCACGGCTGTCCTCAGGCCAGGGTGGCATTGAGCATGGAGCTGAGTGTGGGTTTGAAGGTCACCTCACAAGCCCAGCTCCTCAACCACAGCATCTGGGGGTGCTCCCAACCACCTCTGTGGCTTCTCCAACACTCCTCTCTCCCTGCTCCAGAGACGGAGACCCAAAAAGAATTTCTCAGAAAGAGGCTGGGCGTGGTGGTTCATGCCTATTATCCCAGTACTTTGGGAGGCCAAGGAGGGCGGATCACTTGAGGTCAGGAGTTCAAGACCAGCCTCGGTAACATGGTAAAACCTCGTCTCTACTAAAAATACACACACACACAAAAAAAAGATTAGCCAGGTTCGTGATGGCAGGTTCCTGTAATCCCAGCTACTCAAGAGGCTAATACATGAGAATCACTTGAACCTGGGAGGCAGAGTTTAAGGTGAGCCGAGATCTTGCCACTGCACTCCAGCCTGGGCAACAGAGTGAGACTGTTTCAAAAAAAAAAAAAATATATATATATATATATATATATATATATATATATATATATCTCAGAAAGTGCCCAAAGATGGCTCCAAAAAATGGTGGCTTTTGTTGTTGTTTTTAGACATTCTCCATCTACTTTATATTTTTGCCTCAGATTGGCCCTGA